AAGCCAGAGGGCTGGTTAAGAGTCTGCTGGTAAAAAGTCTGGTTCTACTGCCAGCTTTTTTGCCCAAAGCAAGTCTGTGTCTGTAACAGCATAAATAACTGGAGAGAGTACAGAAATAATATATAAAAAATAAATCAAGTGGGCGTCGTTTGGCAGGAAAAGCCCCAGCGCACAACTGCTCGGGGGCAGCAGCAGTGTGCGTACGGCGGATACAGGGGCAGTGCAGGCCCTGGACGGTAACATCCCAACGAGATGAGGCTTCCCAGCCTGCTAGCGGGGCCTCGGGGACAACCAGGGGCTAGGGGGTGAGGCGGGCTTTCGAGCCGACCACACTTGGGGTCCGAATTCTAACTCCATAGTCCACTAAACTGTGGAAAATCTTCTCACCCCTCTATGCCTCCATCTCCTCGGACTGTAATGAAAATAACAGTATTAGTAGCGACTGTTTTTCAAGCACCAGGCACCATGAACTTGACATATGTGATCTTGCAAGCCGTCCAGGACACTAAATGGAGATTAAAGCTGCAGGCAGGATGTCCTTAGGACTAAATGACGTATCGCGTGTTCAATGCTTACCACCTACAAGTCGCCCAGCTGATCTGGGTGGCTCACAGTGCCACCTGCCTCCTCCACTTTGAGCTCCTCGGGTGTTCCCAGTCCAGGCCCAGGGCCTGCTCCACTGTGAACACGTAACATTCACTAAGCGGGGGAAGGGGCCCCAAAGCCCCCGAGCCATGTGAGTGGCAACCACAACTCCTGAATTCTTCTGACTGGAAAACAGACGTGGAGAAGAGGCCAGGAAGGTTTGTTCTTTTGCAAATATCACAACAAATATCTCCTGAGTATTTGTACTGTGTGCAAGACATCTTGTCAAGCCAGGGGATGGATACAGCAGGAACACCTCAAACATGTCATTACAGATGGATGGACACAAGGACACAGGAAGGAGGGCACTGACTAGGATCTCAGCGGCTGGCACCAGACAGACTTGGGCTCTGGTCTCAGCTCCGCAACTCATTAGCTGCGTGACCTGGGGCACATTATTTGAGCCTGTCACCAATCTGAGTCTCAGTAACTGTACAACAGGGTCTGATTTAATGGTGTCTTCACCTCAGAAGACTGTTGGGAGAAGCAGATGAGCTAACCCATCTCAGCGCTGAGAACAATGCCGAGCACCTGGGAAGTGTTCCGTCAGCATTAACCATCATCATCACGATGCCCAGTACGTAGGACGCGTACCCACCACCCACCATTACTGCTGTTACTCCAGAAGTCAAATTCTGGCTCTAGGCCTCATGCTGGACCAGGGGAACCTCCAGAGCATTTTCTGGGCCCCAGGAACCCGCCTCAGGGTTCTGTGGCTGGAGTCTCAGTGACTCTGGCTGTCACTCTCACCAGTCGTCTGGGAGCGGGAGCCGAGAGCACAGCCCATCCTGGGCTGCTGAGGTTGGAACTCTCACCTGAGCTGCCGGGAAGCGATGTTCCTTGTCCACCTGGGCCGCAATGGGAAAGAGCTCCTTCTCCGCAAAGTCCTGGCATGTCTGACGTAGCATCTGGTGTGTCTCGGGCAGCTCCACAGACTGGTAGATGGTATGTAAGAGGCGCCAGTCCCAGGGCCGGAGAGCTGCCAGTAAAAACAACAGGAGTCAGTAGAAGGGGAATGCGAGAGGTCTTGTGTGATGACATTAATAATTAACCGTAATAATAATAATGGCGTTCCACTAACTCAGTTCTCCTCCATAGATGATTTTGTGCCCCCAGGGACTACTGGCAACGTCTAGAGACATTTCTGGTTGTCTCAACCGAAGGGTTGTGTGGAGTGGGTAGACACCAGAAATACTGCTAAACACTGTACAGGACAGATCCCATGACAAAGAATCATGGGCCCAAAATGTCAGCAGCTCTACTGTTTAGAAAAGAACTGAATGTTTACTGTGCTTGCTAAATACTTCGTACAGCTTAACCCATTCAATCATCAGTGTAACACCAGTAACAGTAAGAGCACAGGCAAGGATGTTAACTTCATTGGTTTCTCTAAAATGTGGAGGCCAACAGCATTTCGCTCCTGGGGTGGGAGGCTGAGATACTAACTGTAGCACTTGGTGCAGGGCCTGGAGAGACACCTCTCAATGAGGGTCCCCTTTATTGTTATTATTCAGGGTGAGTGGCTCTTAACCAGGCAGAGGAAGCCCTGGCCACGTGTCACTGCTGCCACAGCTGGAGAGAAATGAGAAGACGGGAGAGGTAGTGTATGAAATCATCTGCAAGTTCTAATACTCACTAAGCACCTGTAATATGCCAGGCCTTGTACCAAGTGTCGCGCACACCCTCTGATTCAACCTCTATAACAGCTTTACAAGAACAGCAGTAATGCATTATTGTGGCCGCTTTACATAACGGACAGCTTAGACTGACAGGAGCAGTGTCTGGCTCAAGGTCACAGGAGGAAGGGCGCACCTTGAACCTCCTCCGAAGGTGCAGTGAGGGGAGGGGGATGCGGATGCCGCAGTGGGAACGGAGCTGGGGGTAGGCGGTCGGCGCGGGCGCCCGGGCCACGCAGGCGCGAGAAGCAGCCTAACTGGGGGCAAAGGCCGCGCGCTCCCGGAGTGGGCACCGCCCGGCCGCCGCGGAGAAGGACCAGCCGCCGGGAGCCGTACCCGCTCGACGGACCCACGGCCGGAGCGCACTCACCTCCGCGGACGGGGCCGCAGGCCCGGGCGAGCAGTGCGGCGGCCATAGAGGACGGAGGCCAGATACCCGGGACGGTGCTGGGCTTCCTCTGCTATCTCGGGCCACCAGCAAGGGCTCCAGGCTGCGGGGGCGGGGCCGGCGCAGGTCATAGGCCCCGCCCATCGTGGCTCAGGGCGGGGCCGTCCTACGCTCACGTCCCGGGGGCGGGGTCTGCCTCTGGTCGTTGTGAGACCTGCTTCCCTCCCCGGAGGTAAAACCAGACTCTCCCGCGCATTTGCGGAAGTCGCCGAAGTCGGTTCTCTTCCGATCCTGAAACCTTTCGAGAGTGGGCCTATCTCTCCTAAAATCCAATTCCGTGGCCTAAAAAGCCCTATAAGCCTTACCCCGCCTACCTCCCTGGTCCCACGCCCACCACCCCCTTGCGGTCCTTGCTCCAGCCTCACATGGCAGCTCCAATACCTCTAGCTGGTTCCACCCTCCGGACCTTTGTGGTCATCGTACCCTCGCTGGAACGCTCCTTCCCTTCCTCACTCACTGAGGCCTGCCCCGACCTCATGAGGCCAGTGTTTCCACCGCGCCCCACACTTCCCATCCCATTGTTTTATTCCTGGCATCATCTGAAATCTTAACAAGTCCCCTACTAGCCTGTGAGTTCCAAGAGGGGCAAGGGTCTTGCTCTGGTACTCAGTACTTAAGCCCGGGGAGTTGGATTGATGTGAAGGTGGGCTGGCACTGCTGCTTGCCTGAACCTATGTGGTCTCACCGTCTCACTTCCAGCTGTGGGGCAGAGCCCCCTCAGAAGTGGGGGCACTGTGCCCTACTGCCGTGCATTTGTTCCTCAGTGTCCATTAAGATGCCTTCACCCTGCCTCCCAAAACTATGGCGATTTCACTTGTCTAACAAGGGTCTTCCATGGGCACAGGTGTGAGTCAGACTTCCCCAGGCTCCGGGATACCACCGACTTGCACCCAGGCACCCACACATCCCTCCAGCTGCCTTTTCCCACCATAACTCAGCCCAGCATCGACCCACAGGACAGAAGTTCTGTCTTCCTTCAAGAACTTGCTCTGCTTCCTGGAGATCAATCAAAATATGTGGCAACGTCTTTCTGATGTTACCTTGCACTTAAAAAGAAATGCATTCAAACTACTCAGCGATAAAATAAAATAATGCCGTTTG